GTTTTCGTTGGTTTTTTAAATTGCATTCCAAAGTCCCATTGTTTTAAAAATCTCAAGTCTTTTCCTATTTTGACACCAGCAAGAGGTGGAGGATAAAGTGTTTCTTCAATATGCCATACTGTTTCCTTCTGTTCTTGGGCTTTTTTTCTTTCAGCTTTAACTACCTACCATCTTATATGCCCAAGTTCACATGCTCGGCTCTGAATATGAGTGAGCCCAGAGGTCTGAATGGCAGGGCAGCCCCCATCTCTGTGGTCCTCCCACCTCTTGTTTTCTGGGCAGGGAATCTGCAGGTAACCCCACATTCCTTTTACCCCGTGTCTTATTAGGGCTCTATTACCTTAGTCCATCAGATCCAGGGTGTTTGGGGTTATTTATTTGTACAATTGAAGAATATGCTTTCTGTCAAGAGAGGCCAGGTTCTGTATGATTGTGTATTATTATTAATCTGCTATGGATATAAAGAAAAATAAACCATTTCGTTTCTTGGTCATTTGCCTTTCCTTCTGTTCCTTTCAACCCCATCAGGGGAGTATTGCAGAAAAGGCTGTTGTTATCCCCAGGGAGGGAGTTCTTGTATCTTTACCCCAAGCAGAACTCGTCTACCCACCCCACTGAGTTTGAAACAGGGAAGAGCCCACCCAATGCCTTCCAGGCAGGGCCGTCCACCGGCCCCTGTGCCTATGGAGCACTCACGTGTGGACCGCCCAAATTCTGATGTGCCGTAAATGTAAGTACACACTAATTTTTAAGACTAATAGTTCTAAAAATGTAAAATACATTATAATAATTTCTCTACTGGTCGCATGTTGAAATAATATTTTTGATATATTGGGTTAAATAAAATATACTATCAAAATTCATTTCTCCTGTTTCTTTTTACCTTTTTTAATGTGGCTGCTAGAAAATTTTAGTTTATACCTGTGGCTCCTGCTATACCTTTGTTGGTCAGTGCTGAGCTAGAGCAGTTCGTCTACACTGGCCCAGGGAAGTAGCAGAGGAGATGGGTGTTGGTGGCAGCTACTGGGGTTACCAACCCGATAGTAACATTTAAGACCATTGGGTATTAATGCTGAGTGTACGCCAAGCACCGTGCTATGTATGCTCTGTGTCATTGATTCTTCCCAGTGGTAGTTCAGGGGACACTCTCCCCATTTGACCAAGGAGATCAGAGAGATTCAGTGACTTTTCCTGGGCCTCCCAGCTGGGACTTGGACCCAGGTCTTTCAGAGCTCATTCTTCCAATCTTTAAAGAGTTCTGCTGAGAAGAAGAAATGAGGCCTCCATGTTTTAGAGGGTTGTCAGTTCTCCAAGCAGTGCTGAGATGTGGGTTCTTAGCATCCCTGAGACCATTTGTGACTTTTCCTACAGGCCATATGACCTCCCTTTGCCAAGGGGCAGGGTCTCAGCCCTGCTTTCCAGCTGCTTCCCAGAGTATCCCAGTTCCTCCCACCGGACTCCTCCCTGGGCTTGTCTGAGATCTGCCGTGCCTATGGGGTTGGAGCAACAGGAGCACTTTGGGAATGGCACTGCTCTCACCTGAACTGTCCCCCTAATTGTTTCCCGCGCAAGCAGCTACTGTTGATTCTCAAGCTCGGTTTCTCAGGGATTGGCATGTTCATGTGGCTGAGGGGTTTGAAGGCTGAAGGGAGAGCAGCAGCCTCCAGAGCCTGGGAAACAGTGTCAGGTGAGCACACCTTTCCCCTCACTGGGTCTGCAGGCCCGAGGAAGGGAGGACAGTCACAGATCTAGATGAAAATATAAGCAGATAATAATACGGTAAGTGGTTAGTAATGCTCGAAACATGACATCTCTGCAGAGAATTTGCCTTGGACAAGGTATCAAAACAGAATATAGAATTGGCTAGAAGGTCAAGTGCAAGTCAAGTGACTCTTTTGGGGTCAATTAATGGTGCTTTGATTCTTGTTCTGGGGAGAGCCAGTCAGAGGGGTGGGGCTTTTGGGCTTCTCCTGGCCCCACCCAATGTCCCTGGCTTTAGGCTCCGTGCCTGAGCCCAGCCCAGAGGGAGGCTGTGCTCTGCAAAGGTGCCACCCCGAAGTGGTATTCATGCTGCTGTGTAGTTCTGTTCCTTTCTCTTGAATCTGGGCTGACCAGTAAAATGTGACAGAAACAATGCCATGTGGCTTCCAAGGCCAGGTCAAACGCAGCCTTGCAGTGTCTGCACTGGTCTTCCGACAGCCTCTGGGAGCCCTGGGCTGCTGTGCTGGAGAGATCAGGTGTGGGCACTCCAGTAGACAGGCCCCACGGAGCCCAGCCCGTCTGCCAGCTGATGCCATCAGGAGACCTCAGTCAGCACCGCATGGGCAGAAGAGTCACCCAGTCTAGCAGCCCCTGAGTGAACTCCTGACCCTAAAAGCATGAGATGCAATAATGTTTTAAGCCACTGAGTTTGGGGCCAGCACGTTACACAGCAATAGAAAATAGAGCAGAGGCCCACCACCCTGCCCCCTCTGGAAGATGCTGGGGTGAGTGGGCTGGACTCTGAGCCCACGAGTTCTGTTCCTCTCAGGCAGATCCAGTCTGGGCGCCCTGAGCCCCCCATGTGACTAGATTTGAATCCAGAACACCGTGTCTGCTCCAGCTCACCCCAGCCCAGCCACTGTCCTGGGGGGAGGACCCTGCAGACTGTCCAGGCCTTGCCCAGCCCCCATCGCAGGGCAGGAGCTGTAGCCCTTGACCTTCGGGTCAAAGTACCTCGTTCATTCATTTATTCATTCATTCAAAAGATATTGAGAACCCACCATGTGCCAGGCCCTGTTGTAGGATCTTGGAACATAACCACGCGTGAGACAAACCTTGCCAGAGCTTTCTAGCCGTGAAGACACAGCAAGCAGGGAGATAGAATTTCAGTGTGAGTTAAGTGCTTTTATAAAAATAAAGCAGAGAAAGGTAACAAAGATGGACTCTTTTGAGGATGTGATGAAAGGTGAGGAATTGCTCTTCCAGAATGTGCAGTATCACACACACCCATTTAGCATGGAGTTTGGTGGCATTTATTCTTCCTGAAGTCTGCCTGAGGACCTTTAGGAGCTATGGATGCCAGGTTGAGGATGAATGAGAGCCACTTTGGGGCACACAAGGGTGACATCAAGGAGCCCTATGAGCAGAACATGCCACCCTCTCCCCTACTGGTTCTGGGAGGGGGCCAGGGCACTCAGGCCACACGGTGGCCCTGTGCAGACTGGCAGTTGGCCATCGGAGACTTGAGCCTGCTGTTGGGATGCTCTCAGGCCAGCGCCAGACAGGAGATACGGGGTCTGTGACGTGTGGGTGGGTGGTGAGGAAAGGCCAGGCAGGGAGCCGTGCCCTCTGGCTGTGTGGCCGTCGTTGGGGCTTGCTGGGGCCTCAGAGTGCTGCATCTCAATCCTCACAAAGAGCCTCTGCTGGGAGACTGTGACAGCCTCATTTGCAGAGGAGACAGACACAGGAGGTAAGCACCCGAAGGCCCCTGGCTGGTGAGAGGGGCCAGCCCCCCGCAGCCCCTGCCTCTTAACTCACACAGCGTTCTGCCCCTGCCCCGAGGAAAGCTGGGGTTTGGAAAGGCTGGGTAGACAGGCGGCCTGGGCCAGACGCGGGAAGTTCAGTCACATTTCTTGGAATGAGGCGGAAGGTAGGTGGGGCCAGCCCAGGATGTGACTGAGTATTGGGCTGGCAAATAACGTTTATCGAGTGCCAGGCACAGTGCAGGTGTCTCCCACGTGTTATGTCCCCTCCTCCTCACCACCCTGAACGGGCTGTCTTATGTATGAGGCCCGCAAGCCTCTGACAGGACAGGGAACCTCCCCAAGGTCACCCACTACTAAGCCAAGATTCCAAAGTCATTTTCAAAACCAGTCCACCCTGGCACCTCCCCAGCACCAAACCGTTTCTGGGCATGCCCCTTCCACCTCCCTCACCCCTAGTTCACTGGGTTCTGGGCCTCAGGGCAGTGCCGCTCACCTCTGGTCCTCTGAACCGGGCAGCAGACCACTGGGAGGGCAGAGCCATTGTGGGGCTTGCTCAAGGTTCCCTCTGTTCTGGAGGCATTTCAGAGACAGCAGACATTCTGTGCTCCCCGGTGAGCCGGGCTGATTTTCGGTGGCCTGACTAGCAGTGGCTCACCCTTAGTAAAACAAACAGTGGCATAGGAACCTCATCCAGTTCCATCCCGATCAACTAGAGAGGGGTCTGAAGGAACAGCCCCCTTCCTTGGCAGCAGAGGGCGAAATCTCATTTAAACAATTGCCTGCGCCAAAAGGAACATTTGAGCCATTTATTTCCTGCTCTGTGTGAAAGGCCCCTAGGACTGGCAAAGGCAAGGCCTTTGTGCCCATTGGCCCCTGATGGAGCCTGGGGGGGGCATGGAAGCCCTTGGAATTTGGAGAGAGAACGCAGACACCCCTCGGCCTGGCTGGCTTATTTGCATGACAAATGGAGGCAAAGTGGAGCTGTTTAGCAAGAAGGGCTCCCTCTGAGTAGGAGACAGAACCCTGGGTACTATCCCAGGCTGCTCTCACTGCTCTGGCAAGGAATAGCAATGGGTCCTTCATTTGTTTCCTCATTCCTTCATTCATCAAATCCAGATGGATGCCCGCTGGGTGCTGGTCTTCATTTGTCGATGTCTCCATTTCCTCCAGCAGGGCTAACCTGCCGTCCTGAAGAAGCCAGCCACTCCTGTTGCTGGGGTGAGGTCGAGATCCAAACCCCGGAGGCTGCCAGCAGCCTCTGCACTGAATTATCCTCCAGGCAGAGTCTCCCTTGTCCTGGCGGAACCACTCTGGCGACTTCCTAGGCGACTGGAGGCTGAAAGCAAATCCACAGTCCCTGTTCTCAGGGAGGTGTCTTCTTAGACAGAGATTTTCTTGTTTTAAAATAAATTAATAAATAACAGCTTCATTGAGATTATCAACAGAAAAGAAACCAAACTCTGTAATTTAAAAAGGTTTATTCTGAGTCAAATTTGAGGACCATGACCTGCAGCCACGCCCAAGAACCCTTGAGCAAGTAGACTCTAAGTGGTCGCTTTACAGTCTGGTTTTATACATTTCAGTGACACAGGGGTTACAGGGAAAGTCATAAATCAACACATGGAAAGCATACATTGGTTTGGCCCAAAAAGGTGGGCCATCTCGAAGGAGGGGGGCCTACAGGTTATAGTGTTCCGGCAAGTGGTACAGCCAGTGTTACAGCTCTTGACCAGGGAAAGAACCGAGCGGAGCACTAAGAGTCGGAGAACAGCTTATTCACCAGCTTATTCACTGCTGCTTATTTCACCGGCAGGCTCAGCTGACTTCTGACTCCCCGTCCTTAGTCTCCTCCTCTTTTTATACCTTTGGTAGGACTCAAAAAGCATCCAATCAGCAACAAGCTTTAACATCCAATCAGCAACAAGTTTTAACATCCAATCAGCAACAGTGGGATTCAGAAAGTATCCAATCAAGATCACGCAGCCAGCACAGCCGGAGGACGGGAGCAGGTGAGCAGGCAGCCGAGCACCAAGCGCGGCACGGCACCCACCATGGCCTCCAGCCGGCCCTGCGCAGCGCCAGCCCTCGGGATGCTGAGCGATGGGGAGGCAGAGAGCGGCCTCGTCTCGGCGCCGAGGGTTTTTCCCTGTCAATAGGTGGGTTTAAAGATTCTTTGACTTGTAATTGGTTAAACACATGAAGCTTTGTCTAAAGGCTCAGAATGTTTTAAGAAGAGGAGGTCTGTTAATCAGAGACAAGCTGCCAGACGTATTTGTTGCGCCAGTTGAGGACCTGCAGGTTTGCCGGCATATTCCGAGGCCTGTTAATAAGTCACGAAGGATGTCTCCAGGAAGGGAGGGGGCATGAGGAGGCATGCACCACCTCCCTCCTAGTGTACGGCTAGTGCTACGGCTCTTGTGTTACACCTCTTGACCAGGGAAAGAACCCAGCAGCACAGGAAGAGTCGGAAAACAGCCTTTATTCAGCCAGCAGGCTCAGCACCTTACAGCTCTATTCTCGTCTTCCCACCCCCTTCCTTCTGCTCCTCCTGCTTTTATACCTTTGGTAGGGCTCCAAAAGTGTCCAATCAACTATAAGCTTTAACATCCAATCAGCATCAAGCTTTAACATCCAATCAGCAACAGTGGGATTCAAAAATTACCCAATCAGGATCATGCCAGCAGCGCTTCCGGATGACAGGAGCAGGCGGTGGCACGTGGGCTCAGCGGCTCTACCGTGGGGCCTGGCCCCAGTAGTGTGCCTTCCAACGTGCTGCGGAGTGACGGGGAGGCAGCAGGCGGCTGCATCCCGGAGCCAGTTTTCCACATCATTAGTGGCAGGCAATTTAGATGTAGGATATACCCTTGGCCAGGAGGGGGTCCATTCAGTCAGCCAGTCGGGGGGAGCCTTAAGATTTTATTTTAGTTTGCAAGACATAACTCACATGCCCTAAGATGCACCTATTTAAAGTGTACAAGTTTTTAGTATATTCACAGAACTCTGCAACTGTCACCACTAATTGTAGAATGTTTTCACCCCCAAGAGAAACCCCATACCCCCTGCCATCCTTCCTGGCTGTCCTTCACTGACCTAGGCTACCACTGACCCACTTCCTATCTCTGTAGATTGGCCTGTTCTGGAGATTTTTATGTACAGGATCATGCATTTGTGTTAGATGGAGGTTTTTAAGTGGTTTGTGTACTTCTATCAGAGGTGATCTTCCCTACCTGGGGTGGGGAGAGAGGTGGGCATGGACTAAGGGACCTGGAACCTGGAGATAGGTGTGAAGGAAAATGAAGATCTCAGGACCACCCCACTCCAACTCCTTATGCAAAAGGGGAGGTCAAGCTTGGAGGCTGTCATGCAACACCCCCTTCCAAATGAATAGCTGCTACTAACATGTACTAACCAGATCCCCATGGAAATGAAAAAGGCCTCAGTCCTTGTGGGACTGCCCCACAGATCATTCAACAGGAAATTCCTTGCTGGCCTCCCCCATAGACAAGGACATGCAAATTGTAACTTTGGGTCTGCAGGCTAAGTCTCCTAACACTAAAGTCTGTTTGATTCCACACTTATCATGTTGACTACACATTTACCTTCCCTGGTGCAGAACAGAGACAGGACGAGATCAGTCATTCCTCCACCTACCATGGGATAGCTGCATAATCGATGCTTCCTTCCCTCCCTTTTCCTCTTCAAACATACACCTTGTCTTACATAAACTGTAGATTCCCTGGGTCTTGCAAGAATGTAACTGTTTGCCTCGCTCCACCACCTCCTCCTTTTTCTTTCTGTGTGCCTCTTCTATTAAACACTGAGTTTCCAAATCCCTCTTCAGAAAAAGTCACAGATGCATCTGTGGTTTGTCTTTTTCCCCAAGTGCATCCTCAAACTTTGGCTTAATAAACTCCCATTGATTGAGATCTTTGTCTCAGTCACTTATTTTGGGTTGCCATAAGTGAGGAATCTCCAGAGAATGGTGACAGGTGGGGCGTGGTCACCGCTCTTCCAGGGGCTAGGTGTCAGTCTGTTTGTCATCCAGTGCTTGTGTTATCCTCCGTTATGCACAACAGCCTTGCGCTGCTTGTGCTTTGCAGAATAAAGGGGCTGGGTCCCCTTTTATGGTGAAGTTGGAGGGGAGAGAAGTGGATGGAGCTAAACAGCCACTCCGGGGGAGCATTTACTTTGGGACACACGTCAGGCATGATCCACGGCTGTGCAAGACAGTGCCCCTGTCCTGGGTGGGGGAGAAGAAGAGACAGACGAGGAACAGGTGGCTTTTGTTCGTTGGTTCTCTCTCTAGTGACCTGTTGCCTCCACACCGGGTCAGCCTCTCACAATGGAAGCCAAAGGGAGGCTGGCGCAAACCCAGAGGGATGCCACACAGCCATTAGCATACAAAAGACACTGGAGATTCCAAGGTCTCAGGAGCTATCAGGAAACGGGGATGAAGACCAGATATGTATTTCACAGTGTCATAAAAGGGCAAGGCAAGGGAGGAGGGGCGAGGAGCCTCTGTGCCTTTTTAATGTGCCACCCTTCCGCACCTGGACTTGTCCTCCGAACCCTGTGATGCAGGGCTGCACGGGGAGGTTCCATCACGGAGGCATGATTGACTGAATCCTTGGCCGCTGGTGATTTAAGTCAATCTCCAGCCTCCTTCCCCTCCCAGAGGTGGGGGAGTGGTGGTGGTTGGGGAGAGGCTGGTTTTCAAGCCTCTAATCACAGGGGTGAAGCTGTCTAGGGGCCCACCAAGCTCCGCCTCCTTAGCAAAAGCTCAGGTATGGTTGAAAGGGGCTTGTTATGAAAACCAATAGGTGCTCCTGTAACGCAGGAAATTCCAAGAGTTTTTAGAAGTTCTGTGTCAAGAACCAGGAATAAAGGCCAAACATATACTACTTCTTGTATCACAGCCCCCGTGCCAGACGCCAAAGAGGAGCCCCCCTCCCCCCACTTTCCACAGGGACTGATGCTAGTGGCTGACACATGCTGACGGTGCCACATGCCAGGCACCTGTGCACACTGTATCTTCATTATCGCACACTTTATCTTCATTATCTGCGTGCTCCTCATCACCTCGCCTGAGGGAGGACCCATTGTCAACTCCCTTTTATAGCTAGTGTCTGTAGCTCGGGAAGGTTTTGTACTTGGCCCGCGCTCATTCAGCTATTGCAGGGCAGGAAGATCTCACTATCTCTGATGTCACAGCCTTTATTCGAACCACTCCTGTGTGCTGCCTCCCAGCTGACTGCTGAACGGGACAGCGATTGGTTACGTAATCTTTAGAATCACATCGAAGCAACAGCCTCATTGTATCTCATCGTGGGAGATACACCACGTGAAGGTGCTTACGTTATTATCGTAGTATCACGTACACACAGACCCCTACAGGCAGACAGTGGAAGGGACACATGCCCTCCAGCCCCTTGCTTCTGAAAGTATTAAAAATGGGGTTTGTGGAGCAGCAACACTGTCTGTCTTGAATCTCCAGTCCCCTAGAGCTGCCGCCCTGGATTTTAACAAGTTCATCCAAGTTTGGGAAGCTCCACTAGGACCAGAATCTTTGACTGCCTTCCATGTATTGCTTGCTACGACCCGTGACCCCTGAGCCCATAGTTTGAGGCTAAGACTCTCAAACTTTGATTGCGGAAAACTTGTTGCAAATATGGATTCCTAGACCTCACCCTCAGATTCTAGAACTCCCAGGGATTTGCATTTCTAAAGGCACTTAGGTGATTCTGATACACCTGGCCCTGCTGAGACCACACTTTGACAAATGCTCTTCAAATACATCTTTAGTTTTCCAGTGAAGTATTTGGTCCTGAATGCTACTGGTGTTTGGGAACTTCTATTGGCAACAAGAGTAATGTGTCAAAGCCCGGGTCTTCTGCTCGCAGGAGTCCAGAGAAGAACTGCTTCAATTCGGGGAAGTTCCTGTAATCAATACCCATCTCTCCTCCTCTCTGCCGCTGTGTGTCTTGATTTTAGTTCTGGGACTTACTCTTTGATTGAAAACTGTGGTAGAGACTTTCCGAGAATGATTTTGAATACTATGGGAAACATAGAAAGCCTGCTGTCTTTTCTGGGAAGGTTGAGCCCCTGTGGGGGGGCTTGGAGAGGCTCCAGGAACCGTACAAAGTGCGTCTCCCAAAAGCCAGGCCTCAAGGGCTTAAATGACTGACAGCTGTGGAAAATACCCATACCCAAAAGGGACGGGGACTTGCAGGGACTTCCCAAATCGGGTGGCCAGAGGACTCAGTTGAAACAATGGGACATTCTTGGGGCTGAGAAGGCTGATGTGTGCTCAGTGGGTGTGACATGGGCACGTGTCCTGAGGGCTGGAAGACACCTGGGAAGGAGAAGGGGTGGTGTGACAAGTGGGAGAGCAGGACACCCCACAGTTTGGGTTCAAGGCAGCAGCGAAGCACCCAAAGTCCATTTGCTGGCCCACAGGCGTGGAGCCACCTAGGTGAAGAGATCACCTGTCCCAGCTCCCACGTCCCTGAGCTGCAACCAACGCCTCTGTCTGCCGGAGCAGTGGGAACAAGAAAGAAACAGAACCCAGGTGAGCTACTTTACTGTCCCTATGTGGTCCTAGGTGCCCTGTCTGTGCTCCAGTGTCTTCCTCTAAGAAGCAGGATTTTTATTTTCTGACAGTTAAATTCAGTGGAGGTAAAAACAATCATTGTTTCAATTTATTGAGCACCTACTGTTTGCCAGGCCCAGCTCCAGGGGCTTACTGTGCTCTCACTGGGTCTTCCGGAACCCCTCTGACGGGAGCTGTTGTGACCCCCAGCAGGCGCAGGCTGGCCAGTGGCCTGCTGAAGGCCGCACGGTCTGCGGGTTCTAGAACCTTTTCTTCCCTGCAAGCCTGCCCTTCTAGGTCAGCCACCTCGCGGCTCCCCAAGGGCTGCTGCTGAAAGATCGTCCCTTGTGTTCCGGGCCCTCCTGCTTTTGGCTGCGTGCTCTTCCCAGAAAAACGTTCTGGCCCGAGGCTTCTGTGAAGTCACTGTCTCCAATACGTACAAAAAAGGAGCAGGGAAAGCGAGCTATTCCCATTTGTGTCTTGTTTTTATTTTGCAAATAAAAATGGAATTGATTTCATGGGAGAAGGCAGCTGCCTGAGGAGAAACGCTGCCTGGCTGAGACTCCCCTAAAACGGTATGTGGGGCCGTCAGGGCCTTCGAGAGATGCCTCAAAGGGCATCTAATTCCTTTTTATGAAGCCAGAGTTTTGAAAAAGCAATTTCTAGTGAGTGGTCCTGGCAGAACATGCCACCTACCCTCCCCAGTGGACCACGGGGCTTTCTCTTTGGTCGTCATTCATGCTCAGCAGCCCCTCACGAGAGAACCCCCAAACTCTGGGGTCCTGAGAGAATGTCCCGAGGGGCAAGGGCAGCTGGTGGGAGTGGCCTGGGGACCTCCAGTGCCCAGGTGGGCAGGTGGGCATTTGGGCTGCTTCAGGGTCAGGGTCATGGTAGCCAAACTACCTTTATTTCAGAGGTGTGTGCTTCTTTCTGACCTTTCCCGCCATTTTTGGCTTTTTGGGGGACGATTCCTCCTGCTTGTTTCCAGAACACTTTGGAAGTGTAGACGACCCGGATTGCCCGTGCTCGATGAGACAGCACTTCCTATTCTGTCCACTGTGGCAGCGGGCAGGTCACAACAGGAACTTGGTGGCTCGTGTGATAGGGCCATTGACGTGAGCTCAGGGAAGGAGCTAGTCAAGAGGTGGGGGTGAGACCCTGGGGCCAGCCATCGGTCAGGGCAGGAGCTGGGCTGCGGAACACGCACTCGGACCCCGGTCCCCTCTTGCCCTCTGATTTCCTTCCAGAATGAAGCCGGCAGCTGGGGGGCCAGGGAAGCTGGTGTCGGCCCTGAGGGAGACGCTGGGCAGGGAACTGAGCCAGACGTGCAGACGGAGAAAAGCCTGCCCAGTGGGGTGGTTAGACTCAACCGGCATGCATTTGGTGAGTTCTGTGTACTGGGCACTGTGGCAGGGTCCCGGGGGTGTGGTGGCGACGCCCCGCGTGTGGTCTAGAGTAGCAGGTAAGGACCGTGGCGGTGCCACTCGGGGCGTCTGACGGGGCCCGTGCTCTGCAGGTGCAGGTGAGTCGCAGTCTGCCGGTGACATCGGCGGAGGCATAAATAGTCTCAGACAGCTCGTAATCTTCTAGATACTCTCAAAGGCCCTTAGCTAACCTGTTACAGAAGCAAGTTTTCCAAACAGTCCATGTTCTGTCAGGGGCCCAGAAGTGCCACCCATCAGATCTGGAGGCCACTCGTACCCAAGCGGACAAGGCTGTGGATCTATTGGCCTCGGATCCCTTCTCTGGGCATGGGAACAGGCTGGTGGTGGCTGGGTGGGGCGGGGAGAAGGCCCTGTTTAACCTGAAGCCTGCAGAGCAGCATCTCCCCAGCATCTGGCTCAGCCTGGCTTTGGTGAGCCACCTTCTTAGTTTCTCTATTGTCGCCTAAGCTTGAGGCGAGACAGCTGGTTGGGCTTTGGAATCAGACAGCTGGGTTTGAATTTTGCCGCTGTTACTCCATAACTGTGAGTCATTGGGAACATAATGATAGTGCCTCAGTTTTCCTCATCTGTGAAATGGGTGCTTTTGGCGCCTAGCCCAGGGCTGGCACGAGATCTCTGCTTGGTTAATATTAAGTCCTGTCAAGCTTTGCCCCCTTGTCGAACACTGGGTCCAACGGTTCATCTACCTATTGCATTTCATTTCTCTGGTTTCTTGCCGACTGTCCAGGTGCCCTGGTAACGAGTCCCGGATATCATTCCTACCCATCTTCTGGCCAAGCACTCAACTTGTCAGTTCTAGTTTCTTGATCTTTACTCTTGGGACCAAACAATTGCTCTATCTTGGCCCCCTCCGTCATCTGTGTGCCAGGCTGATTCCTGAGCACCGATTTCCAGCCCTGCTGCCTTGGCCTTGGCCAAGTCTCTGTCCCTCCTCGTCCCTTCCCTTTTGAGCTTCTGTGTTGAGGCTCTGTCTGGAGGACAGTGTCACCAGGTGCCTTCCACCCACCCCCAGGGGTCTCTGTCCAACATCTGGAAGCCCACAGAACCAGTGTGAGACCCAGTGGGAGACATTTAATAAACACCAGGTGACCTCAATAAATGTGAGTCAAACTGGAGGCATGTTCATCCATGACGTCCCCAAGGTCACGGCTGTCCGGCCCCAGCTACAGTAGAGGATCTTGCTCCAGCACTGTCGTAGCCCTGACTCTGCCCATCTCAACTCTCTGTCCACGACCCGAGAACCTGGGATACAGGCTCCATCCGAGCAGCGACCTTAACTGACACTGGCCGAGGTGATGCACTGTTAAGTCCGCTCTGTGCTTGGGACCTGTGCACTAGCTGTAGCTTGGTCTAGTTTAAATTTTTTTGGCCTTGTGCATCCAAAACAAACATTCGATGAGGCAGCCAGGGAACAGAAGTCAAAGCTACCTTACCATGAGAGGCTGGTATTTTTCTTTTTGGCTTTAAAGAACATCTACATTTTCTCTGCACCTTTCTCTAATTTAGACCAACTCTCTACATGAGGAGAGGTATTTTTTAAAAAACAATTTTATGTCCTGTGCTTATCTGGAGGAATGGCGCCCCCCCTGCCCCCCCCCATTTTAATAAGCACACATATCACCCAGGAACCTTAGGATGTATCTTCTGCATTTTTTCTTTTTTTAGAGACAGGGTCTCACTTTGTTGCCCAGGCTAAAGTGCAGTGGTGTCATCACAGCTCACTGCAACCTCAAACTCCTGGAATCGAACGATCCTCCTGCCTCAGCCTCCCAAGTACCTGGGACTATAGGCATGTGCCACCATGCCCGGCTAATTTTTATTTTTTATGGAGATGTGGGTCTCACTGTGTTGCCCAGGCTGGTCTCAAACCCCTGGCCTCAAGCGATCCTCCCACCTCTACCTCCCGGAGTGCTGGGATTACAGACGGGAGCCACCGTGCCAGGCCAGATTCTGCAATTTTAACAAGCCCCCAGTGATGCGGATGCTGTCTGTTGGTCCTTGGCCGACGCCGAGTAGCAGGATGGTGGTGGCAGATGGTATATGGCTGGCCCTCGGCTTACAGTGGTTCGACTGTGGTTTTCCAACTCTGCGATGGTGCTAAAGCATTCAGCAGAAATCTCACCTGGCATCTTGATCTCTTCCTGGGCCGGCCATGTGTGCACATACTCTCCCTGACGCTGGGCCAAACCGTCTCACAGAAAGCCTATTTTATAATAGCGTTGAGTGCCTCATGCTATTGGTTGGATACTGTACTGAAGGTTCTCTGAGCGTGCTTAAGGACGGGTAGGTTAAGCTATGGTGTTCCGTGGGTTGAGCGTATTAAATGCATTTTCAACCTGATACTTTCAACTTACGGTGGCTTTATCGGGACATGACCTTACCGTTGTCTAGAGGCATCCGTGTAGGGAGGCACAGTCCTCGCCAGGTACCTTCGTGGTTTGGCCAGCCCTGCGTTTGCAGACTTTCTGGAATATCTACATAGAAGTCACAACGGTCTAGCATGGGGTGGGGCTCCTGAGACAGCACCTTCTTTCCTCATCTAGTTTGGGGCCCTTTGGCTAGGACACATGGAGGTGGCAAGGGGACTGTTGCTTCCGCCTGTCATTTTCTTCTTTTCCAGCTTTTTATCTCAGTTCTGCCCTGCGGTTGCGCTAGCGGGAGCCACCTTCTAGGTTGGTGTGAACGACACGACTCCAGATTGATACTCTTGAGGCTTCTCCAGCCTCAGCACTCCCCCACTGCTCCACCAGCCGCGTCTGGCTGGCACCGTCCTTACCGAACTGCACCCACAGCCCAGGGAGGTGACCTCAGGCTGCCCTGGGGAGAGGCAAGCCCTGGGGACAGTCCCTCTACAGACCCCTTGCTTTGAAGGACTTCTTCCACCTTGGACAGATAGCACAGGGACAGGCACCAAAACCACCACCTGGCTCAAATTTACTTTCTTCTCGGCCCCCCTTTCCCCCCCACTTGCAGCTTGCAAGGGGCCAGAGGCTTCAGGGTGTCCAAGTTACGGGAGGCAGGGCGGGCAGGGCGGGGGCCAGCCGCTCAGCGCCGACCCGGAAATGTCTGAGCGGAAGATAAAGAATTCAGCAGCGAGGGCACGAGTCAGTTTTATTTGCCGTTGGGGGACGAAGGGAACAGGAAGGAATAACAAGGAGGGGAAGGGAGCCCCGACCTCCCCTGCTCCCCGGTCACTAGGGGTCCACAGGGTGCAGTGCCATCCGTGTGGACTCGGTGACCGCCCCACGCCGAGCCTGCGGCTGAGGACGGCAGAAACTCCACAGGGCCATCTGAGATCAGGAAAAAAAGCCAAGGAAAACACAAGGCATCTGCGTTTAGTATGGATTTCCTGTTTTAATGTAGATTTTTATTAAGGAGGAAAAGAAGGGAAAGTGGTCACTTCTAAGTGTCACTGGGCTGGTCAGGGCTCGGGCCCCTAGGGCAGGGACGGTAGGGACCCAGAGCTCCAGGACAGCTCCCTGCTGCCACCTTCCTGCCTAGGGCAGCTGCTCCAACCTTGCTGCATACCTGGTCCCCATCTCTTACCTGACTACAGGGGGCCTCTGGGGACAGTCAGGCAGAACCGGCTAATATTGTCCTAAGGGGCCTGTGGCTGGGCAGAGCTCCCCCGCAGGTGTTTGTATGGGGGGAGGGGGGCAGGGCCGGGAGACTGCAGGGCAGTCCTGAGGGAGGAGCCGGGCTTGCAGGGTCAGTGGTGAAGGTCAAAGAGCAAAACCTCAGCATCAGTCCCTTAAATGGCCTTCTGGATGCACAGGCTCAGCCTTCCTCCTAGCCAAAGCCCAAGTAGTCTGGAATGTTCCGTACCACAGTGGTGGCTCTGGCAGTGACTTGTATCTTTCACCGTGTGTCTCTCACCCCCCTTCTCATCTTCCTTTGCCTCTGGAAAGCTCGTGTCATGGACGTGCAAAAGGAGACCTCCTGACAAAATGCCTCCACCCCTCCCAAATAAATTAAAACCAACAAAACTCCCCACTCAACAAACCCATAGGCCAGACTAGAGTTTAAAATTAAAATGTGTCTTTAAATAGAAATGGACCAATAACTTCATGAGTTCATCTCATAAAGACTAAAAACCAAAATAATCACCCCAAATCCAAGAAAATTAGCCTGATTTTAAGACAGGAAAGGACACAGGCCTTGGGCTGGTGGCCTGTGCCATCCCTCGGATGTCCCCTGAGCGTGGCAGAAGACTCAAGACAGACAGGTGGTGGGGAGCTCCCTGGGCCATCTCTAGATACCAGGGGCCACCTGCAGGCCTGGCCAGGGAGCTGGGTGGCAGGGAGCCAGGTGGGTCACCAGAAGGATACAAGGTGACCAACACCATGAGAGGAAGGGCTAGGGCATTTTGTAGTTGAGGCAACAGCAACACCTTGAATGTATCATGCTTCCCAATTTGCCTTATACCCAGTAGGTGCCCCTTAAGTGTTAGCTGATCTCGCCTTTGATCAAGCAAAGAGACCACATCAATCATATCCCCCTGTCCCCACCCGAATCACCATCTGACAACTGATTCCAGTCAAGGACATTTGTTAGCAAAATATTTAGCAAAATAAACTCAGTCCAATCTAAGATTCTAAAGAAGCCAAGTATTCTGTGTGGGCCCCACCAGCTGCCGCCTGAATGTCCCCAGCCCACGGGACTGTCAAGAGTCCGACAGCTCTGCTAGGGAAAGTGTCTACACTCACTCCCCCATCGCCCCTTCTCAGGGTGCCGTGAGCAGCTCCAGAGGTGTGACCTCACTGGAATCTGTGTGTGCGGTCGGGGTGGCGGGCGGATCAGCAGTGGGAGGCGGAGGTGACTGGGGAGACACGTGTGTCTACACAGAACATATACAGGTATACGTAAAACGACAAAAGAGTTTAATTCTCTTTTTTACACGGCCACAGGCTCTCTTCGGTCAGGGGAACCCCAGCTGGC